CCCCAAAAAAAAAAACAAATGAAAAACCCCCACCCAAACAAACCAACAAACAATAACCTAACAACTTCCATGAAGTTTGCAGAAAGAATTCCAAGATGTGTATTGAATTCTGGATGAAAACCTGAAGCAGTGAAAAGTGTGGAAAAGACCTAATTTTCATTCTTAATGCATTGATTTCAGTTATGTCACTCTCTAATAGTTTTCTATTACTTGGGTCTTTAATAGGGAATCTTCTGCCTGGCTTGAGGCAGCTTACTGTGACTGGGAAGGATTAAAATCAACCCAAGGATAAATGACATGGTTTAATTGCAGCTAGAGAAAATATAACCTATGTGTTTCATATGATTGTCCCTAGAAATACACGCAGGGCAGCAGAAGTCTGGATGGATGAGTATAAAAATTTCTATTACGCAGCAGTGCCTTCAGCCAGGAATGTACCTTATGGCAAGTAAGTCACAAGTGCTTCTTTGCCCTATTCATTTACTTTTCATGAGACAGTGCCTTCTGAGGTGAAAGCAGTGCTGGTTCTCGTGTTATCTCTTTAAGATATAATTCTACAGTTCTACTGTTCTTGAGGTTTCTGTGTATTCCTTAAAGTATATGAAGAAAGCAGCCTGACTTTGAAAACTGCTCCTTTTTTTCCCCTCTAGTATTCAAAGCCGAATGGAACTCAGAAAGAGACTTAGCTGCAAACCCTTCAAGTGGTATCTTGAAAATGTTTATCCTGAGTTACGGTAAGTTTTGGCTGAATCAGAGATAGTATGGAGTTCTTTTTGTTTGTTTGTTTTTGTTCTCCCCATAAATCATCAGTTTCTCATTCTCCTTCCTTGGATGTAAAGGATGTTTTTTAATTTATTTGTGAAAGCAATGCCTCATGCAGGCTTATTTGCTTTTGGTTTTTGTTAGTTCTATTCCTAAAGCGCCATTTTTCCCTAGTAAGCATCTCTCTCTTTTTCTTCTTACCACAACTACAGCTGCAGTAGCATGTATTTTAGAGAACAGTGTCCAAAGAACTCAACTTATCTGAGCCTGAAGTTAGTCTCCTATGCAAGCCGTTTGCTCAGAAGTGCCCTGTTCTGCACCCTGTTGTCATCCCCTTAAAGCTTTTGCCTTTGCCTAAGCACATGCCTAGTTGAGTGAGGAGACTGCATCTCAGTACAGTACAAGTGACGGAAATTGGCAGATAAGAGAGCCTTGTGTATTTGCCAGACAAGGGTGGATGCCCAAGACTCTAAGAAGCTGAGTCTTTTGCTCTTTCTGTCTCTTGTCACTGCATAATCACTAACTTTGGCGGGGCGAGGGGAGGGGAGAAGAGGGAAATGAGGGGTAATATTGCAAACAGTTTCTGTAACATGAATGCATCCTAACTAATGAAAAATCCTCGAAGAGAAACACTTTTTGAAAGGATAAAAAGGTTTTTGTTCAATAACTTGTCAATAAGTATGTCTGTCAGATCTGAGTCTATGAACTAGTTTGTCTGCTGTCAACCTAATATTGGCAGTGTAAGGGTAAGATGCTGCGTGTGGCTTATAAGAATACTTGTTTTTTTTTCCTGGGGGCACTTGATGTCAGTAGAGTCAGGTAACTGCTAGTGGCATACAGGCTTGGAATGCACAAGCACCAGCCATTACAGCCCTAGTGAAACGTGTACAGAACCACACTAAAGAGTCTCATAAACCAGGATGGTGCTGAGGAAGTAAGTTATTCTTTATTTTCTCTTGAAAGTGCCAGAGGATATTTATTTTTGTTTAATTTGTCAGAAAAAATAAATCTTGCAAGCTCTCCTCAAAAATGTGCTACCATAAGCATTACTTAAGTATAATGTTGTCTTACTCTGTGCCATCTCTCGTGCTCTTCTGCTAGCTTGAATTATCATACTCATATTATAGTCTGAAGTTTTAAAAGGAGCTAATATGCCCGTGCTTTACTGTTTGACATGAACTTATGGTCTCTACCCACAATTGTACTTTGTTGAATGGGTTTGCCTAGGTATTTCCATACTATATGAGTGCACTTTATGTGCAACCGTTAGAAAATAGATATCAGCAAAACGTTGTCTCTTTTTTTTTTTTTTAAAAAAAAAAAAACCTCCTAACCCCCTTTCTAACACTTTAGTAAAAACAGTCTGGGCAAAATGTAGAATGTCATTTCTGCCACAATCTAGCTTCGCTGAAAAAACAAGAGGGCTTGATGACCTTAACTGATAGCATTAAGCTTGAGTGACCTTAAATGATGATGATAAGTCACCTTTAATTTGCTTTTTGTGCTGAGTTTGCTTGTTCATCCTCATTCTCTGGTACAAGTCTTTTTGTATTCAGTCCTAAGCTTACAAGTTTACTCGTGTTTGATCAGTTCATGATCAGATTATTGCCTTTCCTCCTCAGAAGATGATTGAGATTTCCAGATAGTAGTCATCCCTCATCTTTAACATGTCATTTAAAAAGAGTCTGAGTAAAGACAAGGAGTTAAAACAAAAAAAAAAAATTAAAAAAAATTAATTAATCAGATATTTCTGGTTTTATTTCAGTGTACCTGATCATCAAGATATAGCTTTTGGGGCTTTGCAGCAGGGTACCAATTGCCTTGACACTTTGGGCCATTTTGCAGATGGTGTTGTTGGAGTTTATGAATGTCATAATGCCGGGGGAAACCAGGTCTGTATGCCCTTTTTTTTTTTTTTTTTAAGATCACATACTGTGGGAAAAAGCTGAAAGTGAAACTTTAAGTTAACTTTAAGTTATGCTTAACTTTTTCACTCAAGCAGGTACTGTGTACTGGTGATAGGAAGATGAACCCAAATCAGCAGATCAGTTATTGTAACAGATTGGCTAAATGACTTCTCCCTCAAATACAATTTTGCATTTTCAGGATTAGAATCTGAGCCCAGAGATTCATTCAGTGTGCATCAGATTATCCCCTTCCTTTGTCTCTATTAATATTTGCTTTTACACTAGAGGCCAATAACATCCTTACCAGGAGTTTTACACTTGTAAATGAATGTTTTTTTCAATTAATTGGTGTGTTTGATTTTTTGGGGGGCAGGGGGGGGGATTTTACTGAAGAAAAGATTTGGCTTGTCTTAATCATATAAGCATACAAAGGTCAGCAAGATAGAAGAATGCTTTACTGTGCCCTATTAGTCATTTCCAATTTGTGGTAGCAGGGTATAAAACACAACTGTCTTAAATTCCTGTTTGGCTCTTCTAGAAAACAGAGATGCCTAAATGTCATATCTTATTCACTCACAGGAAAGGGAGTGTTTCAATAAATCCTTTCTAATCCTACTTTTAAACTAATTGCAAATGTGTCAAATCTATAAATGAGAGCATTAGTTATTTCAAAGAATCTGTTTATGCAGTTGTGACTTAGTGTTCACGAAATATATGCATACATGCTTGCTGTTTTGTGTGCTGCTTTCTCACTAAATTCTTTCCAGAATCAACTTTTCTATAAATCAAATGCAAGATTAATACTTCAAGTACCTCTGTTAAAATAGGAAGCTGACCAAATTACAAATCTAGTGCTGAATGAATATCAGAATTTTGCTCTCTCTGATTTGAATTAGAAGGGGGAAAACTCTAAAATCAGATGAAGCCTAAAATAAAGAGGTTATTTCCTAGAAGATGTACCATGTTGATTTGAATGCATTGCCATCATACATCTGAGATATGCCTCTCTTCCCTATCATTAAAGAGAATATATCCGGGGAGGCTTTTTCTATTACCTTTATGAAAGTACATTCATCTTTCAGAACACCACAGTGGTTTTTAGGAGAAAAGGTGGATGCGTCAGAATTGCTTTGGCGCAAAAACTTGGAAGTCTCTGGTGATGTTGTGTATTCTCTATAGGTATACAAGTTAGCTGCTTCTTTCAAACTCCCTTCCCCTGAATCTGATGCTCTTTTCTGTGTAGTTTCTTCTGCGAAGCTGACCTTGACAAACTAATATACGCTTGCTCCGAACAGGTCCCTGTGAGAGGACTTTCAGACAGATTAAGAGGCAGAACGGGTCAAAACCAGGTTTTATGTCCAAGCAGAATTCATATTGGATTGGAGGGAATGAGCAGAGTGAGCTCAGCATGGGAGAAGAGGCATAGGGAACAAACCAGAGTCTTTAAATCTCTACTATGTGTTTTGCACCTATTCTTATCAAGAGAGTTTGGGGGGAGGTTGGGATTAAGAGTACTCAGATATATAGGTTGTGGAGACCTTCTCCTATAATTTGAAGAGTGTACTCTGACTTATGCTCCAACACAACTTAAAATGCAAAATTTAAGTCAAAATGGGATTTCTGCCCCTGCCCCCCC